CAGCACTATTCCATCTTGAAATAATAAAACTTTCACGCAGATAATAAATAAGATTCGAAGCCAAGTATTATACGTAAATAATAATTGTGCAACAGGTTTAGAAAATCAGTCATTCGCCTAATATAATGTAACAAAAAGAGAGACAATCGATCTTGGCCCTCGGTTCACTGGCATACGCGTTTTTCTATATAAGTGTCTTTCACTCTTTTAAGTCTCGCCGTTCAGCCTTGACCCTTAACCATCGATTGAGTGCGCAGGTGCATCATCGTGCACTTTTCGGCTCACGCCCTTATACCACAGCTAAAAATAATGGACGGCTTCGCCTTGAACGATGCGATGCGCATCTTGTTGTCCTTGTCTTAGTCTAGCAGGCCAGCAGCAGTTTTCATTCTGATACGTGAGTGAATGTATCGATGTATTTATTACTCGTTTTTAAGAGTATGCTGACATTTTTAATGGTTGGAGATTAGTATGAGGGATGTTAGCTAGAGAATTGCATATGAAATTTATTTAATAACGATTTAATATAAAGGCCATAGTTCATTTGGTCTCTATTAGTCACTATTAGCTATTAAATGAACAGTGTCGATAATTATCAAAAAAGGACGTTTTAATTATAAGCGAATTGCTTCAACAATTCAAATATTTTTTTCCTTTTTTTTAGCAAAAAAAAAAAATAATAATAATAAAATTCGTATTACACAATTATAAATCATGCAGAATTAATGCAATGTGAATTATCATTTTTCTTCAACTACAAATATACATAGATAGAATGTTTGACAATTCATCAGAATATCTGAAATTTATAATAATAATAATAATAATGACAATGATAATACGAGTAATTATAATGATAATAATTATTATTATTATGACGATGATAAGAATAATGATAATGATAATAACACCAGTACGATTAACAACAAAAACATTAATAATAGTAGTAGATGTGGTGTTAGTAGCAGTTGTGGTATTTTAGTCAGGTCTGTGTGAATCTGAAATTATATTTTTCGAGTTATTTTAAAGTTATTTTATAACCTCGTCGCACAATTCATTTAACTTATTTTTTTATAATGAATGTTTAATTTCTCAGATCGTTTAATGCTGCTATTCTCAAAAGTAAATGGCAATAGAATGTTATGGGCAAAAGCTTTTGATCGGTTACGACATAAATATTATGCCGAATTCTTAAAAACCTAACTGCTTTGAATCATTATACGTCGGGAACCTTATAAAATTTAACATGCTAATAAATTATAAAGTTTTTCTCAAGTCGAATTGTCTCGTGTCCAAAAAATTGAAAATAGCTCCAGCGAGCAATCAGAGAGAGAGAGAGAGAGAGAGAGAGAGAGAGAGAGAGAGAGAGAGAGACGTTTAATACGATCGTGAGTGTCTCGATGAGTGGACGATACATATAACGACTATCACCGATAAACGTGTTTTCGCGACCTCAAGTTGTACGTGGTCTTGTCTTCGTGAAACCGTGTGCGCGCATACCTACTGTCTATTTTCGCACACGGATTATTTTTAGTATCATTCTCATGAGTAAAGGAGGGCTTCGCCAAGAATATCGTGCCTCTTTCCTATTAATTTTTTGCTCTGCACGAACCACGGGATGATGCAGTAACTGCTAAGACGACTAAGGAGCCTCCCGACTTGCGAAATCCTTGTATTTGAGAGTACGATTTTTGCGACGCACACTGTCTACCAACTGAAAAGGCCGAGGTTGGGGCCAAGTCATCGTGTGTCATTTACGCCCGTATAAGTTAGCATGGATTGCCGGCGATTTTCCTTTCGACGATCATTACAATCGAATAACCACGGAAATACATCCAATTTTATTGGTATTGTGATTTTCGATTGATAGTAATTGCGATTAAATTACTTTAAATAAATTGTATTTTTGTTATTATTGCCTACTATAATACACTTTTTGGTGATTTTATTTAAGAATCGCACTTTATGGTAATTTATCATTCCTTCACAATACACCATTAATAATAATTTTTTATTTTTCTTTTAACGGATGTATTTTCCTTATTTACCGCGTGAATTGTAAATTATCATGACAATTGTAAAAGTTATAAATAAGAAATGAATTTAGGTATTATTCCATATTTTATGTTACTAGTGCTTCATAAGTTTGTTTTGTTAGTATTTTACAAGTGAAAAATTATATTTAAGTCATTTTATGCTCTAATTGTACATAATAAACTGTCTCTCTTATCACGAACCATTTTAATATTTTATTCAATATATTTTAGTAAAGCAGTTATTAGTTTTTTAATTATTCATGTTATTATTGTTAATATGGAATTATTAATTAGGAATAATAATTCTGAATTTTAAATTATATACTGATAATTTATTTTGTCACACTTAAATAAAAAATTATTCAAAGTAATTATTAAAATTTTCTTGGTTACTAGCTTTACAAACTAATATTTTAAAATTAATTTGACAATGAATTTTTTCCAAATTTGAAGGTAATAGATTTTTTTTTCAATAGATTATCGTAGTTTTAAACTAAAATGTGAATTATCTTATTATTCTCGGGTGAAGGTACATACCAACTGAACTATGTAATATAAATTCAAAACTCCGAAACTAAAATAAAAACACACATCTATATGCTACGCATATGGCACGTTTCAAGAAAGATGGTTTCAAGCTTTGATGTTACTGTGCAAAAGATGATTCTATCTTTTTTATTCAATAATATATATATATATATATATATATATATATATATATATATATATATAGGCACACTCGTTCCCATTTAAGCGTACAGTCTCTAGGTTAGTATTTGTAAAACACGTGTATAATAATTGTGTGTGTATTGGGTATATGTGTGAATGTTTGGGTCTATCAACGAATTTCTTTAAGTGCCTATTTTTTTTTATGTATAAAAATATTTAAGTACATATGCGCGCAAGAATTTATACAATGACATGTATACCAACCATTTAATCATATGATGTTGTTGGTGTAATAACGAGCCATAACTTCGTATCTTATATACATCACAAACAATATTATATATAATGTTGATTTCATAACAAAAAAAAATGTAAGTTACAACGTACAATCGAAGATAAGATTTTCCATCGTCAAAATAGAAAAAAGTTGGAAAAATTTGGTTTCCTATTAAGGTTGATTATTTGTGGTCTATTAAATTTTTGTGTTTATACTATTCTTTTGTGCGAAGATAATCTGTTGCTATTTAGATGATATTTACGTCTCAATAAATTACAATAAATTATTAATTTAAATATCCTATTAAAGTATGGTATAATTATTCTTTTATTAAAATATATTTAATATATACCATGAATAGTTTACATTTATATTAAGTTAAAATTAGGCTTTAATACTTGAATATTGTTTATTGAAATATTAATTCTAGTAAATTAAGAATTATTAAAATACTAGTCTTTTCAAACGTCTGCTGAAGGTTCTTTATAACTTATTCACATGAAAATAAATTGCATCTAATAGTTTATTTTAATTTTTGCGTACAAAAATATCTAATTATAAACTATTAGACTAATTATAAATTTTATGGATAAACTGAATAAAAACAATCTCTCTTCATTAAACAATTATATTTTCTAAAGAAAAAACTAAATATATACAAATATTAAATTCCTTAATATTCTCAGTTTTTATTTTTTTATAATATACGAATTAGGTATTTCTTAATCAATATATGAATAAATTTACATTTACAATATTATATACATATCAATTGTATAAATATATTCTTTAATAAAAATAAATAGTATTAACATTGAAGTACAAAAGTAAATCTCAACTATTAAAGCTACTTTTACAACATAAAAACAAATTTGTATGAAAATGTTAAAATATTGGACATTATGTTTGTTTTTAAAATTGTATTTATATTTCTTATGAATTTATTTTTATAATCTGGTGAAATCTACGACATTCTTTAATAGATAATAAATTAATTTCGTGAAAGTTCAAAGAAAAAAATCTTTAGAAAATTTTAAAAATATGTAAACATTTATTTTTATTATCAGAACATATCACTGTACTTCTAATTATTATATTAATTTTCACACGACAGTTTATTTTTTAATGTTCGTCTATATTGCTTTCTCTTATTAGAAGACTGAAAATTCTTATTTGATTAATTGAACAGAAATGAGCTTAAATATTTCTAATAAGATTTAACAGTTCCGTAACGTATTTCATTAGATTTATAAATTTAATCTAAGTCAATTTTGAATCTATGCTAAATGAGTTAAAAATCTACATTTAAGGTCAAATATTTTTTTAATTTATATACCATTTACAATTCGTAAGAAAAAAAAGTCCGTTTAAAATTTAAATTTTAATTTGACCTCTTGTACTATATATTCATAAATGTTTTATTTGTTATTAATTTCATATTTAATTGGATGAAAATAATATATAATTTATAATTTCAGATATAAATTTTTATAATATTTAAAATTTTAATATATATCATTCATATACTTCATTGAAGGTAATTAAATATAATTACAACCTAATATAAGCAGAAGCGATAACAGAAAGATGCTTAATTTGTCAATGAAATCAGTATAATATAAATTAGAAATTAGTTTAATTAAAAAATTTGAGCAACTGTCAAGTCATCGTTTATTTTGAAAAGATGGATGATTTTTGAAAATACTTAAATTCAATATACATGAGTGCATAGTTATCACATTTTATTGTTATCTTTAACGAACTTGTACAGAAATAATTCTAATCCGAAACAATATTGAAATTTTAATATTATTTTTCATAATATATGTACTATAAAAATAGTATAGCACGAAATAAATACAAAGTTAACTTGAACTCTATAAAATGAAACTGTGTTATCATAACAATTTCTGTACAAGATCTAATAATAGATTTTGCATAAAAGACTTCATATACTTTTTACTAAATATTTTTATTATAATTTTGTAATAGAATTTGTTGTTTTTTTTGTGTTTCAGGTGGTTCTAGTTTTCATCCTTAGTATAGCATCGCTAATAATATACTTCATCGATGCCTCCAGGTAAAGCCTGCAAAAAATTTCATTCATTTTTGTAAAAATATTTAAGGTATTTGTTTAATTAGGCAATATGCGAATATACACAAATATTTCTATACATTTTTTATGCAATATTTTATTGTAATTTAAATCTAATAAAATATAAATTATGTTAATTAAAGTATTTTATTATTTTCTCATTTAAGTTAAGATTATTTATATAGTTTTTTTATAAGATCATTAATAATTTATGTTTTGATTATGCGTGTATTACAGATTTATGTGTTTGTTCTAAGTGAACATTTTGTAAAAATTAATTTTTTATGTGGATCTGAAATTAAATTATCACTTTAATTATTAGCAAGGCAACTTTGTAATAATATTATAGTTTTCATAAACTCAAAGATTAATTTCTATCTATGAGATTTAAAGTTTGATTTACTTTGAAATTTTAACTTTGACATTTGCAAGAAAAATAATTCGTAAATATGAATATTCATGGAATATTGCTTATTGCATACACTGAAATGGTAACTTGGCTTACTTAAAAATAATGAAAATAGTTTCAGCAATTTAAATGATAATTTTTTAGTTTATAAATTCTCTATTATTCTTATAATAGTTTTAATTAGACATGTGTGTTATAACTTATAATTCTTTACATTAAAATTCTAAATTCCCGTTTTGATAAAAAATTGTATAGTTTAAAAATGTTATAGTTACTATTATTTTAAAAATGACAGTAATAGAAAATTATTGCAATATAAGTAAATAATAGACATATATTTTACATAATTTTTGAACTTATAATTTTTTGAAGTAAATTAATTATTACAAACATTTATAAATGCATTTATATTAGCTAAAATAGATTAGCTATCAGTATTTCTGATATAATGAGGTTAATTATAGCACTGACATAATAATTTGCAGAATTCGGTCATCTAATCATTCTTGATGCTAGTTTTACTATTTTTGTAACGTTAGTTGGGCAGGTTTAATCGACTGAGTCTAATAGGAAGTACTATAAACTCTTCTATTCGAAAGTTAGTACACTTTACGATTGTTCGAATAGTGCTAGCTAAGAAATCCTTCACTTTAAATGTCAGCGCTCTATTAAAACTTTTTAATAAATGTTTCTTGTATAAGACATTTTTAATGATATCTCGAATATTAGTTATAAATAAAAATTCATTATAGTATTTGTCGCGAAATATATTATATTCAACACTGATCCCATATTATGGATTTCTCATTGAATTATTTTATGCTTTGAGAGACATCATCAATGTTTTTCAAATCAGAAGTTAGCTGAATATCTCTCATATTTTTGTTAAATTAGTGATTATAATAATTTAACACTATATTAATCTAGGTGAATAGGATTTAAAGTATTTAGTAATATTACATTGTAAAAATACGATATTAGTGAGATGAAAAATTAAAAATATTAATACATTTATTCAAAGTAATGAAGTAAACTTTCTTTTTTCTTTTGATTATTTAATTAGATTTCATGAATTTTATTAGCCTATAGTCGAATAAAATATCTCAATTTAAACGTAAATATTAATCTCATTGTTCTATTTTCTTTCTTTTTTACTATTTATTTTAGTTTCTTGTAAGTAACATTTTATTTAATTTGAATAAAGTTGCGTTTACATTATCTTTAAATTTGTACCTAATGTTTCTCTGAATTACTGTTACAGTTAATTGCAGTTTATAATTGAAAAAATAACTTCCTCAACTTAAAAGATTTTCACAAAACAATCATGTATCTACCAATCTACCTACATTATCAAGTTATAAATGTGATAGATAGTAGAAAAGCTTTCATTTCGATCTTTGACATGCTTGCATCAGATGCATATCACATGTAGTATGTATAATTACTTGCAATGCTGCTTAAATTTGCTATAGAATGTGGTTAATTCAATTGTAGTTATGTGCCAGTGTAAATCGGTATCATTTGGATTTAACACACGCGATATTGTTTAGGTATTCCTCGAAAGTCGAGTGTCAACATGCACACGTATACGTCGCCTCACAGTATTCCTCGTTGGAGTGTATTCGGGCATGTGACCTCATTAACCCTTTTCTCGTTTACTGAACCTAGTCGAAGTCATTATTGTATGGGTTGTTATACCATTTTGTGAAAGGCATAAGTGTTCTTTTTTTGTAATGTATGGCATATTCATTTGGACATATAATTGCACTTTACAGAATTTTCGTTAACAATATCAATAGAACAGGTTATGCTAGTGTAGAATTCTTGATATTTAATTATGTCTTCAAGATCTAAAATTTTATATAGCATTGTATTTATGTAAAAAAAAGAATAATTCTTATTATTTTCAATTATTCGATATTGTGAATACGAAATTACGATAAATTAAATTTTCATAGAATACTTATATAAAAAAAAAACAGTTAATAACTTTATATTTAAAGCTGAAGTACAGTGAATTTTTATCGAATAATCGTCTAATTTCCTAGAGGTTAATAAAAAGTAATACAGTAATTAAATTATTAAGCTAGTTTTGAGAAAGTCTGATAGAATTTTGTTCGTATTAAACGGGTTGTTTCTCGATACTTCAGAATATTCAGCTAATTACATAAATATATACGTGTGAAAAAAACCAACCCTTAACATGAATTTTAAATTGTTTACAATTATTTAAGTAAATATTTAATTTTTCATAATATTCATATATTATGTTACTATTCATTATATTTGAAAAATTTATTTTACATTTTATACTTTCAATTATATTTAACAATTTCAATAAATAAACGTAGTACATTGTGAAATTGCAATGTTAGTTTTTATAGATTTTTATAAATTACTAAGTCAAGAAACTTCTTAGTGTCCTTGGTGTCTTTGTAAAAATAAAAAAACTTTAATCAGTATAATTATTTTGATAATATAATTTTCTATTTACAAATCACTGAGTAATCGTATTACTTTTCGCAATTTCTAATACATTTGAGTATTTACATTACATCTACAGTGATCTCCATATTTATAAATCCAATTTGTTTTTAATTTCTTAAGTATTAAATTTTACAATTCTATATTTAATAAATGTAACATGAATATAAATAATGAATCATGAATATAATATAAATGATGAATAAAATAAGTATCACAAACCAGCAAATATTGTAGGCACAATTTTAATAGATACAATTACACTAGATAATTTATACGTTATAAATCTTTTTTGTAACAAAAAATTACTATTGCAAGTTAAATTTATAACAAATATATGTTGAGTTATATATATATGTGTAAATGAATGTAGTTGAAGTGGACTGTGACATTTTCCGGGAAGTCATAAAATAGAGAATTATTGAAGACAAAAAAAAGACGAAACAATAAAGAGCACAATACATAGAAAAAGAGACAGGGAAGGAGAGAGAGAGAGAGAGAGAGAGAGAGAGAGAGAGAATAGAAGTAGGGGGTAGCTTAGCTGCGTTATAAATATATAAATTATGCATTTGTAAAGTTTGTCCGGTAAAATAAACTATCAGCATTTCAATATATTTATGAGAAGTACAAATAAAACTTGTATCTTTTTAATCATTAATCAAACAAAAAAATTTTTTGTTTTTCTCATTACAGTGAGGAGGTGGAGCGTTGCCAAAAGTGGAGCAACAACATTACTCAGCAAATAGACTTAGCTTTCAATATATTTTTTATGGTCTACTTTTTTATACGCGTAAGTACATATTATCTCGTTGACGATACAAGAAACATCATACGTTTTCTACATTTTATAGCTTGTCGAGTAAAATTGAATTTTTAGTAATAGGTGAAGAAAGTAAAAAGAAATTTCATGAAAAAGTACATTTCAGAGAGCACGCAACCTTTTTTATTATATATTCATACTATAAATTCTTTAGTCGGTAAAAATAATAATATATTTTAAAATACTACTGTCATGTAAATTCTTATATCTTTTTCTGCTTATAGACGAAACCCAGTTTATTTCTCAGATTGCAATCTCAGAAATACAATATGTATCTTATTATTATTATTATTATTTCGGATTTCTGATAAAATTATGGTTTAACAACAATAAAAATTCTTTTAAAATATTTTAAACAGTATCGTGAGCAATGAGATTGTAAAGAAAATTGGTAAAATAAATAAATCTTTGAAATAAAATGAGACTAATAAATTTTAGTAAAAATATTTATGAATAATTTTGTATATATATTCAACGATATTTATACAACTCATTATTAATATATATCGACTGTATATCTTATTTAATAGTAGATTTTTTTATATGAAGCATGAAAAGAATAAAATTAATTAATTTATATATATATACATACATGTGTGTGTGTGTGTGTGTGTGTGTGTGTGTGTGTGTGTGTGTGTGTGTATGTATGTATGCATGTATTGAATATTAATATTAATAAAATCTGAAAAAACTATTTATGATATTAGAATTTGTATTCAATGAAAATTGTAATGATTTAAAAAATTAAAAAATACTCTACAATTTTTTGAAAACATTTTTAGATACAAAATCAATATAAGGACAGAATACATTTGCATGTTCTTTATAAAGAAAACATTATTTACATAGCCACTATGTATGTTATGTATCTTACAATTAGCAGATATTTAATTCAATGCATTTTTCTTATTAATATTTGTTATATAAATATCATTTTAAATAATACATAAACACTATTTGATGATTTGAACCCAACATTTGAGTATTTATGTATTAATATTGAATTTATCGTGGCTACCTATTCTACGTTTATACCTTTTCAAATCTAAAATGCAGCTTGACATTTTTCTTCAGATTTGTTCGAATTTACAAAATCTTCTCTAGCTAAACAAAAAAAAAACTTTTATATTGTACATAAACAAAAATATATGAACATATATTTTTCTTTAATCCTGTGACTACATAAACTTGGAATTTATTCTTTCTTGTGCAGTTTATCGCCGCCAGTGACAAGCTGTGGTTCATGCTGGAGATGTATTCGTTTGTGGATTACTTTACGATACCACCGTCTTTCGTATCGATCTACTTGGATCGGACGTGGATCGGACTGAGGTTCCTCCGAGCCCTACGACTGATGACGGTTCCTGACATCCTCCAGTACTTAAACATTCTAAAGACATCGAGCTCGATTCGCCTCGCTCAACTCGTCTCCATATTCATCTCCGTCTGGCTTACGGCTGCTGGCATCATTCATTTGGTACGTTTATAATTCTCTTTAGAGTGCGATCTTCGTTAACTGTGAAAAGGGATTATTAGATTTCACAAATAACTAATTTTTAAGTTTAATTTAGTCGAGAATCCATTGATAATAGTTAATAAATGTATATACAAATTATCGTAATTAGTTATAATTTTGCATGAAATCGACTTGCTAACTATTAACGTATTAACTATTTTTATATTAAATACATTCGTTTAACTATAATATTCATAGTTATTAATTTATAATTTTAGTATGTTAATGTAATAAATGAGTTTTTCATTATTCATACATTGACACTAGTTTTGTTTTACGAATCTTATAGTAAGTACATTAAAAAAAAAAAATATATATATATCAATATTAATAAAGTGTTAAAAAAAAAGAAGATTTTTTACTCATATTTCAAGAACTATTTTTATTATTTCTATTGCAATTATTAAAACAAAAAAATATGTAAAATCGTTATAATAGTATTCGAACTGATTTTTATACGTTTATGTTGATACGAACAGCAGATTGTTCTATTATTGTCCCTATTATTATTTTCGTAATTATTCAATTTCAATATTATTTCGTTATATTATATAAGAGTTAAATAATATTATCATTAGAATGTTTCAGTCAATCTCATTGTCTAATAAATTATACCAATTTATGTCATTAAAGATATTTCGAATAACTAAATAGATATATTAGTGAAAAAAAATCTATAGTTACTTAAAGCACGATAAACTGTCGTTTGTGCTTGCAGTTTGAGTAAACAACATTTTTAAGACAACAAATTTCTTATTCTTACATATATATATTAACTATAGGATAACGATAAAATAGTTCGAGAAAAATTGCATTTTATTATACATATGATTGTCTACATTATAACAAATTAAAAATTTTTAATGAATTAAGAAAATATCACCGTCCAAGTTTTAAAGATGTAATACTGTAACGTGATGCTTTAACTTTAATCAAATCCAAATGCAACTATTTTTGAAATTTATTATTAATTGTATAATATTTCTAAAAGTATCTTTTTTCGTTGCTTCGACTTACTAAATTTCAAAAGAGATCACGGCCTTACAACTCTTGCGTTCACGAACATGGACTACATAATATTATTTTCCCTTTTAATAACGAAGTAGCTTATTATCTTCTCAGCTTGAAAACTCAGGAGATCCTTTCGAGTTCAAGAATCCACAACAGCTTTCATATTGGACCTGCGTATACTTCCTAATCGTGACAATGTCAACGGTGGGATACGGCGATGTATACTGCCAGACGGTACTCGGCCGCACATTCCTAGTATTTTTTCTACTCGTCGGCTTGGTAAGCCCACCTCATTCTATGTATTGGCCTTTAAGTCTCATTTTAAGCCCAACTGTATGGAATTTTGAGAATTCCTATTGCGTTAATCTTTTTTTTTTATTATTCATGATAAGATTTGCAACAGATGATCTATCAAGAGTCGAACACTTGAGAAATTCGAAAAAGCTTCTCGAATGAACGTAATGTTATTGCTGTATGGTTGTCTTGTCGAATTTGTCAAGTGATAATCTTTTATTACACGCTAATTATGCGAATTAAAGGTTTTGAAAATAAAGGATATCAATGAATTTTTATATGATAAATTTCATCGCGAATACATTGAATATATTTATTTAATTCGCATATTTTAGTATTAATCATTTGCTCTGACTCGGCAATTACTAATGTCTGTAATGTATTGTCTCAGCTATATTTACAAGAAATTTTCAGTAAGTCTTGTAAATTTTCTCTTACATTCTTACAGCAATTGCACGCCATAATATTACGATAACGTTAATACAGAGCCAAAAATTTTTGGTACACGTTTATTCGGAATAATTGATTAATGTAATTAAACAAATAATTTAACATTCCAATTTATTGGAAGTCATGTATCTGTTTCTTGTTTCGTTCTATGAGAATTCGAAATGGAAGAAAACGTGTACCATAATATCAAATTGACATCGAAGTAAATATAAACTATAAAATTCAAATGCTTTTGTTTAAACATCGATTCCGCTCGACATATTATTGCATTATTATCGACCTGTTATTTATATATAAAATGAAACCAAACATCCATTATTCAATAGAAATGTTTAGTCGATCTATTTATTCTAATTTTGCGCTTCTTCCTTTATCTTTTACCTAGAGTATCGAAGTCTGGAGATGTAATAAAACTTCCTTATTGGCAAAATTCCGAGTATTATGATCGACTTGTTCATATTCCGAGAAACATAACTGTCGAGGTATCGCCGTTTAAACTAAAGCTTTGTGCTTTTGTGTGTCATAACGTTTTACGGAACATGACAAACATTTATTTGCAATATGTCTGACGTAGTAAACATCGAAAAAAATAACGAAAAATTAAAAGTTTTCCCCGTGAAACGTTGTAAACATATTTAGCATATAAATAGAATAAATTTAATGCGAAGACTTTATTTTCCGAAAGAAAATTTTTTTTATCCAATAATAAAACATATTTTGCTGTCATACTGTTTTCCAATACCGTTCAATAAGACACCTTTTCAGTGCTATCTTAAAGCTTTCATTTATTTTGTGAAATGTTTTAATCATAAAGGATGAATATTTTTTCATGTCATTATGTATTGCTTTCTAAGATATTCAAGTAGACATGAAAATAAAGCCTTCGTGAAGAATTAACGATAGACATATCAGCTTCTATATTTCCAAAAATATAATAATTAACTAAAAAGAGTTAATAGTAAACATAATTTAATATAGATTTATATGAAATTGTAATTAAATTGTCCTGTTCGAGGACTAAAGAAATATAAAAAAAAAAAAAGAAAAAAAAAATAAGGCGAAGTCATCCAATCCCTTTTATTGCTAACATATCTCACATAATCAATGATGAGAGTATAGGAAAGTTCTTTATACGAGCACGTGCGCTGCCACGAATTTTCCATATCTTTATAGATATCAAAATTTTTGAAAAAGTACCTAGCTGTTTTGTTTTGTTTTTATATATTTATTTATTTTTTGTTGTTGTTGAATACAAGCATGAACAATCCTATCAAGAGTGTGATTCATGTAATACTGCTACGCGGCATATAAATATTTATATCTGATTATCTATTCCCATGTATAAAATTATCTATAAAACATCCTTTCATTATAAATATGTCTTATCTATTAGAATCTTGTTAAAAGTTACGTTATAATTAATATACAATGAAAAAAATATACAGTAACCGTAAGTGTGTGTCATGATTATCTATTCTTTGCTTTTCATATCTTTCACGTAGTAGATGAATGCCACTTATCGAATGTTTTGTTTACATTTATTCTTCAAGTTTGATGTTATTAATACATAGCATACAATAATTCTTTCAATTTTTAATTTGTACTTTCCTTAATGTTCCTTTACGAAATCTTTAATGAATAAGTCCCATTATTCGATTGATTTGACTTATTTATACGTATTAAGGCCGTCATAGGTATTTTCATGGCTGGCTAATATTTGATATTTGATAAGATGTTTGTGCAGTTGCTTTTGTATTTTCTTTTATTTTTATTTTAATAATTTATTTATCAACTTCATTTAATCTATATAAATTGTTATTTTCGAATACATTTTTCATTGATTCTTTCTAAAACTATTTTTAATGTGATGTTTCTACCGCATAATATCAAGATTATGTCGTACTTAACATATAATTTGTGTCTTACGTGAATTTTATCTTTTATTTAATTAAAAAGCAAATACAAATGTTAAGAATAGTTATCGAGATTTATCTATTTGAATATACAATATCTCGCTGAATCTCACAATTTCTATACCAATCATATTTCACTGATTTAACAATGTTTTAGAATCGAATATAATTGAAAAGACATTCAAAGTATACACTATTTTTTACTTCTTCGAGGCTAGACATAATTTCCGCGTAAAAAGATTAAAATCAAACATTTTCAATTAAAGTTTGATGCGGCCAATTTTATGAGACTCGAATTTACAATAAAGCTCGAAGGTACTTTGACGAAAGGAAATTGTGCATAATACACTCAGGCCATCAAAAAATATCATTTACTTTTTAACGCGTATCTTACAAGTTACAAACGTATGTAATAGTTAATTAAGACAATTAAATCTTACGAAATTTCTTTGCTTTCGTAACAAAAAATGAAAAAGAAAGAATGAAAAAAAAGCAGTTTTATACCTCTTTTGACAGTTGCATTGGTAACACTATATATCATGGCACAGCGCCACTCATTTTTTCTTGGCTGCAATCCATCAAACATATATAGAGAAGTACCCGAAAGAGCTAATATAACATACATTATTCGGGATCTGTATTCTTCACAAAAATTCGCGGATTTGACCTTTTAAATTATTAGAAAGATTATTAGACATAGTTTAAATTATTAGCATATAAAAGTGCTATTTATATACAATGCTTCATTAATCATTTTATGTTAATTTTTCGAACAGAAGAGTAATTTTACTATTTTGATAAACTGTTTGCTACAATTTCTTACTATATATATATATATATATATATATATATATATATATATATACATGAAACTTCACTATGTTATATTTTGCATCTATAATTCTTATTGAACAATAAATTCATGTAATTTAATAAATTACGTTTCAGATATTTCAAATAACATAGTAATAGGAGTTTTGCTTTGCTTTCAAACATTTTGCAAAACAATCATCATTTTTCATAATATTAATGGTTCTACGTTTAATTAATTCATATAAATTGTTAATAAATATATTAATTGCTCTATATTTCAAAATGCATTCGTCGATGATTTGATTAAAATACATAATTATAATTATACGACTTCTGCTTCTGAGATTATACGAAAATTTTATGTCCAAAATTTATTAGGATCGTTAAATCAATTATGAGTACTTCTTTGCATATGGTGCGTGCGTTTTTCTCTATATCATTATCTTTTCTTTGTATTACTATTCTTAAGTTTTTTTAAGTATTCAACTTTGTTATTATTAAAATTCAATAGAAAAATAATAATTTTAGATTTGTAAGTATATTAAATATATACGATTTATTTCTATCTTCATTTCTTAATTAACTACTGTTCATGAATATTTTGTTTTATTTATTATCATCACATGTTTAAATTTTTAGTAATATTTTTTTAGTTAATTTACATTAAAGTCTTCAGTACGATTTTTATATGAACAGTGTAATTTACATTAACAAATTATATAAATGCCTAAAATTGTATACATGTACGTTCTATATTTCCAATGTTATGAAATTTGCATCCTTTTCTCTCATTTAATATTGTTTTTTCTTCATATGTTTCTTTTTATAAATTTATCTGATAAAGCTTAAAGCGCTTTTATTATTTTATCGTAAATAATTTTGAATGGCGTTTCTTGTCGAACTATTACAAGGTGTATATTGCACAAAAATCCGTAAATAATGTCGCCCATAAGCGGTCGAATACTTTTATGAATTTTATATGAATTCATATAATCTTTATAAATTTAATTTCAGCAAATCATGCATGATACTTGTAAATTGCCTTCTTTATATAAAATAAATTATTGAAGATAAAAAATTGTTCAATAATTTATATACTTAAAGTGTATAAAAGCGCGATTTTAATCAATTGTCGAATTCTGTAATGATAATTTTTTTTATTTCTTTTCATGTTTTGAAAATTCCATCGATCCAAATAAGATAGACATGAATTTGTAAATGTTATTATAATAAACTGTAATGTTATTCTATTTTTATTTTGAAATAAGAATTTAAGTCTTAAAGAAAATTTAAATATAATGAAATTTTTGTAATATGTGCTTTAGAATTTGAAACAAATTTTGAGTGAAGGATAAATTTGTTGATAAAAAATCATATTTCATAATCGAGAATACTCACGTGTATTTGAATTAATGTTTCAGCAAATGAAATAATTGTTTATTCTAATCTTCTATCAAGTTTAAGTAAAATTCTTTTAGAGTATGTTTAAATTCTTAATTATTTTTAAAATATCAATATAAATCTCACAGCGGTAACATTAAATATGTAGCCATAAGCTTAAGATACAAATATTCCTTAAGAATTATAATTTTTAATTGATTCTTAATTATCTTGAATTGAACGAATTAGTTGAATCTTTACTTAGTGATCTAAGTTTTGTATCTTAGACATTAAGAAACAACGAATTACATTAGCAATTAATTTTTTAATTCAATTTACATTACCCATGATAATTTCGATAATCTATAAATAGTAAATGAATAGTAATTATATGAAAATTTAATTTACTTAATATTTAAATTCATGAACTGAAAATTGATATTACAAGTGATATTAATTTTGCTAATTTAAATTTCACTAAATAAACGCTGTAATATTGCTTGTTCATTTATGAAAATTGCATCTAAAAACTAATTTAAACTTTCAATTTTCAATGCATTCATTTATATTTGAAAAAATTAATGAATTCCAAATCTTTTAAATATT